GCCCTGGGATCAGAGAGACCAAGGGCTCAAGAGACATGGGTCTCACCCCTCGGTATGGAGAGACTCCCTAGCAAGCATTCTGACCGTGGGGGCAGTCCCAGGTGGGCGAACTAAGCTCTCAGTCCTTGTAGGCAGCACAGCAGCTGTCCAGGGTAATAGACGGGGTGGCTGTCCCATAGAAGATCCCTGTCACAGAGTCTGTCACCACATCTGACACATCTCCCTCATTGCACCAACAAACCCCCCATTCTCCTTGCTTATTTTATTGTTTTATTTATTTAGAGATGGAGTCTCATTCTGTCGCTCAGGCTGGAGTGCAGTGATGTGATCTCGGCTCACTGCAACCTCTGCCTCCCAGGTTCAAGCGATTGCTCTGCCTCAGCCTCCCGAGTAGCTGGGACTACAGGTGTGTGCCACCACGCCTGGCTAATTTTTGTATTTGTAGTAGAGACAGGGTTTCACCATGTTGGCCAGGGTGGTCTCAAACTCATGATCTCAGGTGATTTTCCTGCCTCTGCCTCCCAAAATGCTGAGATTACAGGCGTGAGCCACTGTACCTGGCCTTATTCATTTTTTTGAGATGGGGTCTCGCTCTGTCACCCAGGCTGGAATGCAGTGATGCAATGATAGCTCACTGCAGCCTCAACCTCCTGGGCTCAAGCGATCTTCCTGCCTCAGCCTTCTGAGTAGCTAGGACTACAGGTGCACACCACCATGCCCGGCTCATTTTTTGTTTTTAGTAAAGACGGGGTTTCACTATGTTGCCTGGGCTGGTCTCGAACTCCTGATCTCAAATGATCCTCCCACTTGGGGCTTCCAAACTGTTGGGATTACAGGTGTGAGCCACTGTACCTGGCCTTTCTTGTTTGTTTATTTGTTTGTTTGTTTATTTATTGAGACAGAGTTTCACACTGTTGCTCAGACTGAAGTGCAGTGGTGCAATCTCAGCTCACCACAACCTCCACCTCCCCGGTTCAAGTGATTCTCCTGCCTCAGCCTCCCAAGTAGCTGGCACTACAGGCACGCACCTACATGCCCGGCTAATTTTTGTTTTTAGTAGAGACGGGGCTTCACTATGTTGGCCAGGCTGGTCTTGAACTCCTGACCTTGTGATCAGAGCCTCAGCCTCCCAAAGCGCTGGGATTACAGGTGTGAGCCACTGAGTCCAGCCTCTTGTCAAAAATTTTTTAAGTTTTTAATTGAAATGTAACAGACAAACAGAAAAGTGCACAATCATGAAAATCCCACCACTCACGATGGACTCATCACTAAGTGAACACAGTGACCAGCACCCAGAAGCCAATCATGCCTCTTCTTGGCTCCCGTCTTCCCTCTCCCCCTGGGGTCTCTACCTCAGGCTCAGACCAGCTTGCTGTTGGGCTTTGTATAAATAGAACCACGCGGTCTGTGCCCCTTCAGGTCTGGCCTCTGCCCTCAACATTGTCTGTGGGATCCATCCGTGCTGCAGCTGGAGTTTGTTCTTTTTCTGCTGCTCTGTCACATCTCATTGTATCAATGCACCACACAGTCCCACTGCTCTTTTGTTGAAGGACTGTGCCTAAATTTTGGGAAAAGTTGGTTGCTGGGAGTGATGGGGAAAGAGCAGAGACCTTGGTATTAATCCAATAGACAGCCCTAGGTGCAAGCCCTGCCTGGCACCAACAGACTCGACTGCAATATGGTACCTGCCTGCCAGCCTCTCTTTCCTCCACTCTGATGGGGATTCTGAGAGATACGCATCACAGGGACCTGAGGAACGCCCTGGAACAGAGCACAAACAAAAAGTTCAGTTCCCTAGGGCCAGAAAGGCCCCATCACCTCCTAGAGTATCTCCAGGCCCCTTGCCTGTGCTGGGGCTCAGGACACACCATCCCAAAATGCAACTGTAGGAGACCAGAGTATCCCAGCCCAAAATATACTACTTTGGCATATTTTGAGCTGGTTTTTTTTTTTTTTTTTTAAATTTTTAAGACGGGGTTTCACCATGTTGGTCAGGCTGGTCTTGAACTCCCGAACTCAGGTGATCCACCCACCTTGGCCTCCAAAGTGCTTGGATTACAGGTATGAGCCACCACGCCGGGCCTTGAGCTGGTTATTCAGAGAAACTGCAGACGTAGGAGTAGCTCTGAAAAGCTAACCTTTGAATTTTTTTTTTTTTTTTTTTTTTTTTGAGGCAGACTTTCTTCGCTCTTGTTGCCCAGGCTGGAGTGCAATGGCACGATCTCGGCTCACTGCAAACTCTGCCTCCTGGGTTGAAGCGATTCCCCTGCTTCAGCCTCCCGACTAGCTGGGATTATAGGCATGTGCCACCGTGCCTGGCTAATTTTTGTATTTTTAGTACAGACAGGGTTTCTCCATGTTGGTCAGGTTGATCTTGAACTCCTGACCTCAGATGATCCCCCTGCTTTGGCCTCCCAAAGTGCTGGGATTACAGTCATGAGCCACTGCACCTGGCTTTTTTTTTTTTTTTTTTTTTTTAGGGCACCGGGACCAACGATCACCAGCTGCCCAAGTACCAAAAATTATACTTCTGAAATCTCTTGATGTCCATTCTGCACAAAGAGTAATCAAGTTGCCCTGCCTGTGCCACTTACGACAGAAGCTTTTTTTAAATAAATAAATTTAAAAAAAATTTTAAAAACTAAAGGAATAAAGAATGGTTACTCTGGCCGGTCGCAGTGGCTCACACCTGGAATCCCAGCACTTTGGGAAACCGAGGCAGGTGGATCCCGAGGTCAGGAGTTCAAGACCAGCCTGGGCAAGATGGTGAAACCCCATCTCTAGTAAAAATACAAAAAAATAAGCTGGGCGTGGTGGTGGGCGCCTGTACTCCCAGCTACTCGGGAGGCTGAGGCAGGAGAATTGCTTGAATCCAGGAGGTGGAGGTTGCAGTGAACCGAGATGGCGCTATTGCACTCCAGTCTGGCCGACAGAGTGAGACTCCATCTCAAAAAAAAAAAGTTACTCTGTAGGCAGAGCAGCAGCATGGGCTACTTGCTGACTACACTTGAGTCATTTCTGGATCATCTGCCAAATAAGGGTGGATTATTCATGAGTTTTCCAGGAAAGAGGCAGGGATTTCCCAGAACTGAGGGTTCCTCTCCCCTTTAGATGATAAAGGGTAACTTCCTGGTGTTGCCAGGAAGTTTTTTTTGTAAACTATCATGGTGCTGATGGGAGTGTCTTTTAGCATGCTAATGTATTATAATTAGTGTATAATGAGCAGTGAGGATGACCAGAGGTCACTTTTGTTGCCATTTTGGTTATAAGTTATTTTTTTTATTATTCTTTCTTTTTTTTTTTTTTTTGAGACAGGGTCTCACTCTATCACCCATGCAGTGGCATGATCATGGCTCACTGCAGCCTCTATCTCCCAGGCTCAAGCAATACTCCCATCTCAGCCTCCCAAGTAGCTGGGACTACAAGCACTCGCATGTCACATCAGGCTTATTATTATTATTTTGTAGAGACAAGAGTTTTACTTTGTTGCCCAGGCTGGTCCTCCTGCCTCTCTGTCCTTTTTTGCCTTTGCTTATTTTTTAGACGAAGTCTCATTCTGTCTCAACCTCTGCTCACTGCAACCTCCGCCTCTTGGGTTAAAGCGATTCTGCTACCTCAGCCACCAAGTAGCTGAGATCACAGGTGCACGCCACCACACACGGGTAATTTTTGTATTATTAGTAGAGACAGGGTTTCACCATACTGGCCAGGCTGGTCTCGAACTCATGACCTCATGATCCGCCCGCCTCGGCCTCCCAAAGTGCTCGGATTACAGGCATGAGCCACTGCACCTGGGCTCCTTTTTTGCCTTTAAAAATCCATTTACAACTGCTGCTAATCAGAGTATATATTCAGGACAAGTTGATTCTGTGCTTCCAGGTTATAATCATCAAACTTGGCCCAAATAAGCTCTCTGCTTATGTTAATTTTGTTTCAGCTTCTTCCTTTTAGGTCGCTATTTTGTAATTTACATCCATAATGGAAATTTACATCCATAATGGAAATTTACATTAGTAAGAGTATATCAGGAAGAGGGCTGCTCCAGACTTTTTTTTTTTTTTTTGAGACAGAGTCTCCCTCTGTTTACAGGCTGGAGTGCAGTGGCACAATCTCAGCTCACTGTAGCCTTCAACGTCCGCCTTCCAGGTTCAAGTGATTCTCCTGCCTCAGTCTCCTGCGTAGCTGGCACTACAGGCACACACCCCTCTTCCCAGCTAATTTTTTGTATTATTATTATTATTTTATTTTTTTTTTTTTGAGACGGAGTTTCGCTCTTGTTACCCAGGCTGGAGTGCAATGCGCTATCTCGGCTTACCGCAACCTCCGCCTCCTGGGTTCAGGCAATTCTCCTGCCTCAGCCTCCTGAGTAGCTGGGATTACAGGCACGCGCCACCATGCCCAGCTAATTTTTTGTATTTTTAGTAGAGACGGGGTTTCACCGTGTTGACCAGGATGGTCTAGATCTCTTGACCTCGTGATCCACCCGCCTCGGCCTCCCAAAGTGCTGGGATTACAGGCGTGAGCCACCGCGCCCGGCAATTTTTTGTATTTTTAACAGAGACAGGATTTCACCATGTTGGCCAGAATAGTCTCGATCTGTTGAACTCGTGATCTGCCTGCCTCAGCCTCCCAAAGTGCTGGGATTATAGGCGTGAGCCACAGTGCCCGACTGAGTTTCATGTTTTGTGGTACCCCCTTGTGTATGTGTATTAGGGTTCTCTGGATGGACAGAACTAATAGAATATATCTCTATCTATCTATCTGTCTATCTATATCTATAAAAGGGAGTTTATTAAGTATTAACTTACATGATCACAAGGTCCCACGGTAGGCTGCCTGCAAGCTGAGGAGCAAGGAAGCCAGTCCAAGTCCCAAAACTGAAGAACCTGGAGTTTGATGTTTCAGGGCAGGAAGCATCCAGCATGAGAGAAAGATGTAGGCTGGGAGACTAGGCCAGTCTTGTCTTCACATTTTTCTGCCTGCTTTATGGTCTAGCCCCACTAGCAGGTGACTAGATGGTGCCCACCCAGATTGAGGGTGGGTCTGCCTTTCCCAGCCCAGACTCAAATGTTAATCTCCTTTGGCAACACCCTCAGAGGCACACCCAGAATCAATACTTCCTATCCTTCAATCCAATCAAACTGACAATATTAACCATCATAGTATGCATGTAAGTAGAACTGTGTTTTCACCTGTTGACCTGTTAAGTCAATTTAGTTCATAGTCCAGCCAAATACCTAGAGTGGTGGAGGGAAGCCATTTTTCTCTTGCTTACACCTGACTATACTGATTTAGGAGTTATTCCTTTGTTTCCCAGTGCCCGACAAGCCCAGGAGGGGAGCAGGGAGGTCCTTGCCCCTTCCTTCTCCCAGTGGCAGCCACTTGGGGCCTGGGCCTCTTAACCCTGTGCCCCTAGGACCGGGAGGGAGTTTAGAAGCATCTGTCCAGGGCTGTTGGCTAGGACTCAGGGCAGGGCAAGAACAGAGGCATGGTGGTTATGGGTGGGCTTGGGCTGAGACTGCTAAGAAGGGAGCCGGGCACAGTGGCTCACGCCCATAATCACAGTATTTTGGGAGGCTGAGGCAGGTGGATCACATGAGGTCAGGAGTTTGAGACCAGCCTGGCCAACATGGTGAAACCCTGTCTCTACTAAAAATGCAAAAATTAGCCAGGTCTGGTTGTGCATACCTGTAATTCCAGGTACTCAGGAGGCTGAGGGAGGAGAATCATTTGAACCCAGGAGGCAGAGTTTGCAGTGAACTGAGATTGCACCACTGCACACCAGTCTGGGCTACAGAACGACTCTGTCAAGAAAACAAAACAAAACAAAACAAAACCCATAAAAATAGAGTGAGGAAGGTGAGGGAGAGGTGAAGAGGGATGAGCGTGGGGCCTGGGAACACATCCGTCCAGAGGAAGCTCAGACACAGCTCCCCTTCTAGGGCACCCGAGTTCATTGCCACCTTGCTGTGACACTTCCCCACCCATGGGCTGAGGTTTCCTCTCAAAGCTCCAGTTTCTCAGTCTTTTGCTACCCCATCACTACAGGCTTTGATGTTATTGACCTCACTGTCAAAACTGGAACTTCTGGAAACTCCGTCTCTGCAGCAGCATGTGTGGTGGCTAAAAGCATGGGTTTTGGAGGTGATAGACCCGTCCTGGAATCCTGGAGAGGCAGCCTTGTAGCTTCATGATCTCGAGCAAGTCCCCGACTCTTCAAGCCTATTTCCTCATTTGTAAAAAATTTGAAATAGGCCAGGCGCAGTGGCTCTTGCCTGTGATCCCAGCATTCAAGGAGGCCATGGTGGGAGGATTGCTTGAGCCCAGGAGTTCAAAACCAGCCTGGGCAACATAGTAGGACCTTGTCTCTACAAAAAATAGTTAGCCAGGTATGGTGGTATATGCCTGCAGTCCCAACTACTGAGGCAAGAGGATCACTTGAGCCTGGGAGGTCGAGGCTGCAGTGAGCTGTGGTCGTGACACTGCACTCCAGCCTAGGCAACAGAGCAAGACACTGTCTCAAAATAATGAAATAGCCCAGGCATGGTGGCTCGTGCCTGTAATCCCAACACTTTGGGAGGCCAAGGAGGGTGGATCGCCTGAGGTCGGGAGTTCAAAACCAGCCTGACCAACGTGGCGAAACCCCGTCTCTACTGAAAAAATACAAAATCGGCAGGGCGTGGTGGCACATGCCTGTAATCCCAGCTACTTGGGAGGCTGAAGCAGGAGAATCGCTTGAACCTAGGAGGCGAAGGTTATGGTAAGCCGAGGTAGTGCCATTGCACTCCAGCCTGGGCAACAAGAGTGAAACTGTCTCAGGAAAATTATATGATAATAATGAAATAATAATAGCATATCTTTCATGACATTATTGTAAACCTGGAATGAGATTGCACCATGAAGGCCTGGCCCAGTGGCCGGCCCCACACTCCCTTTCCTGGTGTGCCTTCTACCCGGTTGAATGCTGTTAAGCCTCCTGCAGCTCATAAACATTCTGAGTGTCTGGTTGGAAACAGTGGTGAACTAACACAGGTTCTGCCCTCAGGTGGCCCTGAGTCTTGATGGAGACACACTACCAAGTACCAGCTCAGCCAGGAGACCCCCACCCAGGCAGCGCTGAAGGTAATGAGAGGCAGACACCCAGATAGAACAGCAAAGTGGGTCTGTTGGGGGGCTAGCAGCCTACTGAGCTGAGAGCCTCAGGGGTTGACAGCGTTCCAGGCTGAAGGCCCTGAGTAGATTCTGATCCACACAGTTATTCTCTCTTAATAGGTGACTATTATTAATAAACAGGTGTTCTGTATTTACTCATAACTCAAAAAATTCCAAGTAGGCAGCTGTTACCCACTTACCACAAATTGCAAACTAAAAGGTATTCTCCACAATGGAGCCACGGTGGCAGGGTAAACTTAATGTTTCTCAACAGTCCACCTTGTGGGGCAGAGCTGTCACAGGTGTCACTGGGCACAAAGGAGACACAGGCCCAGGGTGGCCAGTGAAGGCATTCTGAGGGTGCCACCCCACGTATCTTCCTAGCCCATCATGGTTTTATTTTCACCATGACACTTATATGATGGTTTCCAATTAAGTGCCTGCTTTTCCATCCAGAATGTCAGCTCCGTGACAAGAAACCTTATCCATGCTGTTTATACTGGTGTCTACAATAGCTTCTGACACACAGTAGAGGCTAACAAATATCTGTTGAATAAAGTAAGTTGTATCATTAACTGGAAGCCAGGAAGCAGGAATTAGCATGGTGAAAAAGCCAGGCTGGGTAGGAGTTGGGAAAAAATGAACATAAAATGCAGAAGCAACGCTGGATGTGGTGGCTCACGCCTGTAATCCCAACACTTTGGGAGGCCAAGGCGGGCAGATCACATGAGGCCAGGAGTTCAAGATCAGCCTGGCCAACATGGCGAAACCTGTTGCTATTAAAAAGGCAAAAATTAGCCAGGTGTGGTGGTTCACACCTGTAATCCCAGCTACTTGGGAGGGTGAGGCAGGAGAATCGGTTGAACCCGGGAGATGGAGGTTGCAGTGAGCCGAGATTCCTGTCTCAAAACAAAACAAAACAAAACAAAACAAAAAACTCAAGCAGAGGCAAGGTCAAGTACAGTGGCACAAGTCCTGTCATCCCAGCACTTTGGGAAGCTGAGGCGGGTGAATCACCTGAGATCAGGGGTTTGAGACCAGCCTGGCCAACATGGTAAAACTCTTATCTCTATTAAAAATTCAAAGCCGGGCGCGGTGCCTCAAGCCTGTAATCCCAGCACTTTGGGAGGCCGAGGCGGGTGGATCACGAGGTCAAGAGATCGAGACCATCCTGGTCAACACGGTGAAACCCCGTCTCTACTAAAACTACAAAAAATTAGCTGGGCATGGTGGCACGTGCCTGTAATCCCAGCTACTCAGGAGGCTGAGGGAGGAGAATTGCCTGAACCCAGGAGGCGGAGGTTGCGGTGAGCCGAGATCGTGCCATTGCACTCCAGCCTGGGTAACAAGAGCGAAACTCCGTCTCCAAAAAAAAAAAAAAAAAAAAAAAAAAATAGCTGGGCGTGGTGGCAGGCACCTGTAATCCCAGCTACTCTGGAGGCTGAGGTGGAAGGATTTCTTGAAACTGGGAGGCAGAGGTTGCAGTGAGTCAAGCCACTGCACTCCAGCCTTTGCAACAGTGTGGGACTCTGTATCCAAAAAAAAAAAAAAAAAAAATTAGCCAGGTATGGTGGTTGGCGCCTGTAGTCCCAGCTACTTGGGAGGCTGAAGTGGGAGAATGTCTTGAGCCTGGGAGGTGGAGGTTGCAAGAGTGCTGTCAGCTGAGATCACACCACAGTGTCCAGCCTGGGCAATAGAGTTAGACCTTTTCTCAACAACAACAACATCAACAATAACAAAATGCAGAAGCAAAACACTTGGTGGTGGAAATGAGAGCAGGGTCAAAGGTGTGGAATATTGCAGAGTTTTGAGAGTTGAGGCTGGACAGTGACATCCAGGAATTGGGATTTTGCCTAGGAAGCAATGGGGAGCCACTGAAAGTATATGACTTGGTCAGATTTAGGTTTAAAAAACAAAGAAAGAAGGGTTGGGAGGGAGAGATAGAGATAGGGTAGGAAGGAAGGGAAGTTGGTTGCCCCAGCATGGTAATTGGAATTGAAGAGTGTAATAGTAATCGAGGGGAGTTTGGTTACTATGTCAGTGTCAGGAATTCTGTCCAGAAATGAAGGAGGCCTGACAGAAAGGAAGGAACTCTCAATAGAGAGATTTTTTTTTCTTTTTTTTTTGAGATGGAGTCTTGCTCTGTCACCCAGGCTGGAGTGCAGTGGCACAGTCTTGGTTCACTGCAACCTCTGCCACCTGGGTTCAAGCGATTCCCCTGCCTCAGCATCCCGAGTAGCTGGGATTACAGGCACCCACCACCATGCCTGGATAATTATTTTTTTTTCCCCAGAGGGAGTATTGCTTTGTTGCCCAGGCCAGAGTGCAGTGACACAATCTTGGCTTACTGCAACCTCTGCCTCCCAGGTTCAAGCAGTTATCCTGGCTCAGCCTCCTGAATAGCTGATATTACAGGTGCCTGCCACCATGTCTGGCTAATTTTTGTATTCTTAGTAGAGACGGGTTTCAACATGTTGGCCAGGCTGGTCTTGAATTTTTTTTTTTTTTTTTTTTTTTTTAAGACGGAGTCTCGCTCTGTCACCCAGGCTGGAGTGCAATGGTGAAATCTCAGCTCACTGCAACCTCCACCTCGTGGGTTCAAGCAATTCTCCGGCCTCAGCCTCCTGAGTACCTGGAATTACAGACGCCCTCCACCACACCCAGCTAATTTTTGTATTTTTAGTAGAGATGTGGGGTTCATCACGTTGGCCATGCTGGTCTCGAATTCTCAACCTCAGGTGATCCACCCGCCTCGGCCTCCCAAAGTGCTGAGATTACAGGGATGAGCCACCGTGTTCGGCCTGAATAGCGATCTAAGAGTATGAATGGAGGGAGGAGTCAAGAGCAGTTTAGGCTTCT